TATATATATATAGTTTTGTTTTTTTTTTACATTTTTGGTATTATAGCGCTATCACAAGGATAATGGTAGATTAGGGTAATGATAAGGAACAAGGGCTCTGGAGTCAGGCTCCTGGGTTCAGATTTCAGCTCTGTCACCTGCTGACTATGTTACTTTGGGTAAGTTAGCCAAGTTCAGTATCTTCAGGGAAATGGAGATTATAGTACTTAGAGCTGTGATGCATGAAAACTGCTTAACATAGAAGTGCTTGATATATGGGAGCTACTATGATTATGTCCAAGAGGTACATCTTTATTGCTAGCACCATTCTTTTGATTAATAAAAGTATTATCATTATCAGTACAATGAAGAAATTACTTCCAAGTAAACTTGATGGAGGGGTTTCCCTTTGCTGGGTGAGACAGCTTTTCTCAGCTGTCCTACAAACACTTCTTCCCTGCATATTGTCTGGGCACCTTTTGGTAAGGGGTATGTCATTGAAGGCCATAGAAATGAGTGCTTTTAAGCCCCTAATTTAACTGTGTAGACATAGGCTTGCAGAATTTAGACTTTTTTTTTTTTTTCAGTACTAGAAATTGAACCTAGGGGCACTGTATCCTAGAGCTACATTCCCAGCCTTGAACTTGTGATTCTCCTGCTTTAGTCTTCGGAGATAAGACCTATCTTGGGCCACAGGCATCACCATGCCTGGCTTAAAGATTCCCTTTAAAATATAAATGATACTTTAGTAAAAATTTTAAAATTCCTCTCTGAATTCAAAGTTCCTTGATTTCAGGAACTCTACTAAAGGCAGTGCTCTAAGGTGATCAGCCAGTCTCCGTGGTCCATGTTGAACTTAATGATGATCCATGTTGAACACTTAGATCTCAAGAAAAGCTGGTATTAATAATAATTTGTTTTTATTAATAGTGCTTATACTTTTTTTTTCACAGACAGAGACTGTCATGGATGCTGCCCATAAGCAAAGGAATTTACAATTCAAGAAAACCATGGATGTGAGTTATACTCTTGTGCTTCTCATTTATCTATCTATCTATCTATCTATCTATCTATCTATCTATCTATTTATTGTAATGGTGACATTTTCTGAAATACTGTGCTTTGTATGAATATCTTCCTATTCAAATAAAATCTCAATGTTATTATTTATTCTTGTGGTGTTTTAAGGGAAACAGTCTTTACCAGTTTGGCTTTCCTTCTTTTTAAGGCCTTGGAAAGCTTGAAAATGAAACAAAATAGTGGAAAATACAATGGTATTATCTTTTTGGTAACCTTGGGAAATAGAGCGAGTCAATTTAAATATTTTAGGTTAAGACACAAAAAACATGCATACTATAAAATGCCATTTATCTTGTGGTACTGGAGTTTTTACTATGTGGTTATTTTGAATCTTGATTGTTTTGCCTGTTTCACTGAGTGACACTTTCATCTTTTAAGATATATGGGAATTGTGAAAGCCTTCTCTCCTTTAAGTAATTTACAAAAAATTCTAGGCAAGATAGAGGTAAGATAGTTGCTAGGGATTTCACTCTAGCTTTACACAAATCTGTTAACTCTGGATACAATTAGTTCTACCATTAGAACATACATATGGCTACATCTTTTTTTTTTTTGTACCAGGGATTGAAACTCAGGGGCATTCCACCACTGAGCACATCCCCAGCCCTATTTTGCATTTTATTTAGAGACAGGGTCTCACTGAGTTGCTAAGCACCTCGCTGTTGCTGAGGCTGGCTTTGAACTCATGATCCTCCTGTTTCAGCCTCCAGAACCACTGGGATTACAGGCATGTGCCACAGCACCCGGCTATGGCTACATCTTTGTAAGATGTATCTTCATGATATTCTGACATGGCATAAAAGTGTCGGTAACACGAGAGCAGGAGTCTGTTCTGCTGTATTTCTTTAATCTTTGATGGAGATCTCCTTAGAAGCAATGGATAAATGAGGAATAATGTCAATATAGTGAAGAACTAGTGTGGGTGAATATATGACTTCCCCCCAGACTGTCTGTGTTTTGAATAATCTGGGGCAAGTAGTCTCACAATTAAAGAGACAGCTTTATCAAAATATAATTTTCTTGATTATTTCTTCTACCTACACATAGAGCCATATCAGTGTTAGCAGTTTTTGCCAATGCCCTGCCCTGTAGCCATCATCTGCAGGTTCCCCCTCTGAATTCCAAGTCATTGATTAATTTATGTTCTCTTGTTCTGTCTCTAATCAGGGCTTCGCATCTCTCAGTGAGAAAAAGGAGGCTTATGAAATGAAGAAGAAATAACAATGGGTTGTAAAAAGTATAGTTTATTTGTAGGCCAGAAAATTGTATCTAATTAGAGAATGGAGTATTTTATGTCTTTAATTTCCATGTCTTTTATAGCCAAGTTGCTTAAATATGAAATGCATTTCTTAAGCAAAAACTTGTGTCTAGCTGGGTGTAGTGGCATATGCCTATAATCCCAGTGGCTCAGGAGGCTGAGGCAGGAGGATCTTGAATTCAAAGCTAGTCTCAGCAATTTAGTGAGGCCCTAGACAACTTAGCGAGGCCCTGTTTCTAAATTAAAAAAATAGAAAGGGCTGGGGATGTGTCTCGGCTGGGGATGTGTCTCGGCTGGTGAGTGCCCTTGGGTTCAATCTCTGGTTTAAAAAAAAAAAAACTGGGGAGTAGAGTGAAAGAACACTATTGTAGTTATCTATTTTCTTACCATGTTCTTTTTATCCTTCTAATGTTCCAAGGTTTCTTGCTGTATGGTTAAATTTTTTTTTTTTTTTTTTTTTTTAGCTTCAGATAGGTCTAGATCCCAGTTCCATGAGTGTTAGATATTTTCTTTTTGTGCCAAAGGTCCCTGAGGCTCTTTATTATTTTTTTTCAGCCTATTTCTTCTCTGTGCATATTAGGTAATTCTACTATTTCTCTTTCAGATCACTGATTCTCTGTCTTTCTCTTGTTAAGCCCATCCGCCAGGTTTTTGTTTTTTGGTTATTGATTTTTTTTTGTTTTGCTCTAAAATTTCCATCTTGTTCTTCTTTATATGATCTATTTCTTGGCTTTTCTAGTTCTTTCCAATACTATGTATTTTTCATTTGTTTCAAATGTACAATTGTGTACTGAATACTTTTATAATAACTGCTTTAACATTTTTGTCAGATAATCTGACATCTCTGTCACCTTGATGTTGGCAACTATGGATGACCTTTATTTTTGTTCAGTTTATTATCTTTCTTGTTGTTGGCATGAGTGGTATGCTTGACATATGATTGATTTTGGACATTCTGGAGTTCTGTTACAAGACTCTGGATCTTATTTCCACCTTCTGTGTTAGTTGGCTTCCTCTGACACCCTTCCAGCAGGGACAGATGGGACACTGCCATTTCACTGCTGTTTGAGGGTCCAAGTCCAGGTCCCCCCTTGTTCTCTACTGACCTCACAGAGTGGGTGTGGCCCTTTTAGACCTGGAGGGTTGTTGAAATACTGATTCTTCATTAGACCTCCTCTGCCACCACCTGGGGTGGGGGCCACCTCAGCACTGTCCAGTGTGGGTGGAAGTCTAAACTTCCCACATAGCTGCCACTGGCACCCTGATTGTGTGGCTTTGTTACCTCCTGATGTGAATGAAAGTCTCAGTTTTCATTTGTCCTTCAGGGATTCTGCCTGAGTAGGGGAGTAGGTGCCTCTTGGCAGCCTCTACTGGCCTTTGCTGGCACGTGTTCAGGTGGGGCCTCAGTGTTTTCTTTGGCGTTTAGCTGCAGTAGAATGGTTATCTTCATGTTCCACTAGGCTGCCCCTTTTCTGGTCTTTTTGGCTATAGAGAATCGGCTTTGTTGGGCTTATTTTGCTGTGATCACTGGTATTTCTGGGTGTCTGCTTCTTCAGCATGTAATCTGTGATAAATGAGGCAAAAAGACACCCAGGGAATTCACTGTTGGGTTGATCTTTGAACCCAGGGTCACTAGCCAGTCTGCCGCCTTACCTTTCAGTGTTCTGATGTTTGTTTTAAATGTAATGTTTAGGGATCTTGGTTGTACTAATGTGGAGGAATGGGGAAAGGATACCTGCTCCATCTTCTCCAAATCTGGGGAATCCTTTTTTTTTAAATTGTTCTAATTAGTTATACATGATATCAGAATGCATTTTGATTCATTGGACACAAATGGAGCACAACTTTTCATTTCTCTTGTTGTACATGATGGAGCATCACAACATATGTGCATTCATACATGTACCTGGGGTAATGATGTCCATCTCATTCCACTATCTTTCCTGCCCTCAAGCACCCTCACCATCCTTCCTCCTCTCTGCCCAATCAAAGTTCCTTCATTCTTCCCATGCCCCCCCATTATGGATGAGCATCCACTTATCAGAGAGAACATGAGGCCTTTGGTCTTTTGGGATTGGCTTACTTCACTTAGCATGATATTCTCTAACTCCATCCATTTACCTGCAAATGCCAAAATTCCATTCTCTTCTAAAGCTGAGTAATATTCCATTTGTATATATAACACAGTTTCTTTATCCATTTATCTATTGAAGGGCATCTAAGTTGCTTCCACAGTTTAGCTATTGAGAATTGAGCTGCTATGAACATTGATGTGGCTGCATCACTATAGTATGCTGATTTTAAGTCTTTTTGGTATAGACCGAGGAGGGGGATAGCTGGGTCAAATGGGTTCCATTCCAAGTTTTCTAAGGAATCTCCATACTGCTTTCCAGAGTGGTCACACCAATTTGCAGTGCCACCAGCAATGTATGAGTTGGGGAATATTTTTAAAAAGATGCTTTTGCAACATGTTTTTGGAGCCATATGTGTGAACATATCTCATAAATCTTATACCAAGAATCTAAATTCAGGAATTGCCCCAAATAAGCAAAGGCATGTACATGTTTATACTATGATTTTCACTAATAATGAAAATTGCAAATGATTTAATTACCAACAATTGGAGAAGGGTTAAATATAGTATGTAGACTTTAAAAATACAATTAAAAAGATTGTGTTTTGACAGAGAAAAACTGTTTAACATGCCATATTTAAAAATAAGGAGATAAAGAAAAATCGAGCAGGTGTGGTGGTGCACACCTTTAATCCCAGCAGCTTGGGAGGTTGAGACAGGAGGATCTTGAATTCAAAGCAAAAGCGAGACACTAAGCAACTCAGTGAGACCCTGTCTCTAAATACAAAATGGGTCTGGGGATGTGGTTCAGCAATCCAATGCCCTGAGTTTAATCCCCAGTACTCCCGCCACTGCCCCCCAAAAGAAAAATAAATAACATGGCAACATTAAAACTTAAGGCTTCTCTATGGTAAAAGAAAAAGAAAATCTCCTTACACATATTTCTATAATAAATGAAACACTGGGAAAAATATTTGTGACACAATATAAGGAACATTAATTGCGTTAGGAATAGTAACCTAATATATAAATTTATATATATTATTAGTATTATAATTTATATATATATATTATATATAAATTTATATATTAGGTTACTATTCCTAATATACACTGAGCTATTAGTAATCAGTTAAAATGAAAAATGTTCCAAGAGGAAAGTAATAAAATACATGAAGTAGAAAGGAAAAACTACTTCAGTAATAGTAAAAGATATGTAAATAAGAACAATATGGAAATATTTTTACTTCAATGTTAGAAAAGATTGAGACTATTGGCTGAACTTGATATTGGTTAGAGTGTGAGGTAGTGTCTCATACTATTGGCAGAAATATACTTGGTACCACTCTTGGAGGGAAATCTGATACAGGTTTATTTTATTTTTTTGCCAGATAATTATATTTCTAGGAATTTTTCCTGTATATATAAATTTACACTACTCAAAATAAAATCAGAGTTTTGTTATGTCTAATAAAAAGTGGGAAGTTGGTGGGATTGTAAGTACAAAAACTATGGAAATCAGTATGGAGGTTTCTCAAAAGGTGAAGCATGGAACCATCGTGTGACCCAGCTTTACCACTCCTTAGTATTCCTCCTAAAGAATTAAAGTCATCATACTATAGCCATACACACAGACCCATGTTTATAGCAACACAATTCACAATAGCCAAACTATGGACCCAGCCCAGGTGTCTAACAATGGATGAATAGATAGAGAAAATGTGGTATGTATACCCAGTGGAATTTTTTTTTTAGCTATAAAGAAGAACAAAAATTATGTCATTTGCAGGAAAATGGATGGAACTTGAGAACATTATGTTAAGTGAAATAATCCAAACCCAGAAAGTCAAGTGTTCTATGTTTTCTCTCATATGTAGAAGCCAAAGAGGAAAAAGGAAAAGAAAGCAGTGTGTGTGTGTGTGGGGGGGGAGAGGTGGATTTCAAGAAAATTGAAGGATAGAGCAGAGGAAAGGAACTGGGATGGGAGAGAGGGAAAGGAGAAATGATATTGGCTAAATTATACTGTTATATTGTGTGCACGTAGGAATACAAATCCCACCATTATATACAACTATAATGCACCAATAACAATCTAGAAAAAAAAATAAAAAAGTAGGAACCCAGACCAATGCCCACCAATAGAGATCTGGTTAAGAAAATTATGGCATGTATAAGTAAATAAAAGATATATGTGTGTGTATGCAGATATAAATACAATTTATATCTGCTTTCATTTTCATACACATTTGAGAAAAATATATATTGTATTTATATATAAAATTCTTACTTTATAGACAGAGAAATCAGCGCAGAGAGACCGAGTAATTTATTAAAGAACATGTGGAGGGGCTGGGGTTGTGGCTCAGCGGTAGAGTGCTCGCCTAGCATGCACGAGGCCCTGGGTTCGATCCTCAAAAAACCACATAAAAATAAATAAATAAACAAAATAAAGGTATTGTGTCTAACCAAAAAATAAATATTAAAAAAAGAACATATGGAAATAGGGTAGTACTTGGGGTTTAAATGGAGAAAACTATTTTATATTCACTTGTGAATATGTCAAAATGAACCCCACAATTATGTATAACTATAATGCACTAAAAATTTAAAGTCAGAATACACCCATCTATTATAAAGCAAATTATCCATATAAAATTATATTGAAGGGTATTTGTTGACATGCTAACATGTTCACAATGCATTAGAAAAGTAAGTTAAAAAGCAGTATTTGGTAAGTTCCCATTTTTGGAAATAAATGCTAAAATTCTAAAAGAAAAAGGAAAAGAACCCGTGGACAGTGGTAAGGTTGGATTTGAACCTATTCCTGAACCTCCAGTACTTGATCTCTGACTCACCAGCCAAACAAGGACTAAGAAGTGTGGGGTGGTCTTCATTCTTATTCAAGTGTTTTTCCCCACCATTTTTACTTTATTAGCTGATTGTTCAGTTCACAGCTTTGCTCTGTTTAGGCAAGTTAAGGCTCTTTCCATAGTTGAAGCAGATAATTAGTTCTAGGTTGACTAATGATTATTCTTTGTGAACTGTTTCTGTAATACTGATAGTAAGGATGGCATAGAATAGACCATGCAAATTATGTAAAGCAAAATTCTTTAAATGAAAAAGGAACATGACTATACCAAGGAGAAAGAGATGATGGCATTGGTACCCTTCCCGCCGTCCAGAGTTGTACAGCATATTAGAATACAGAGACATAATTAGAATGAATTGGTACCAATGACCAAATGGATTGCACATAAATTCTGATTATGAATGTCATATAAATGTTGGGTTACACATCTTAGAGTTCCATAAATATTTTAATTTTGCCTACTTCAAATTCCATCTTTTATTTCTGTCAATTTTTAGAGCTCATGCACTTTGTGTTATTTAATAGGAATTATTATTTCCTTGATGGAATTTCCACTCCATCCGCAATTTGAAAGAGGGCTAGAGCTAGAGAGACCTTTCAAAGATTGAGAAGAAAAAGTATCTGCCCTCTGAGAGCCACGGTCTAGTGGTGGTCACAGTGTTAACCAGAGTGCTCTGTTTGTGCTGGGTGTGGTGGGCTGGGGCAGCTGCTTTTCAAGGTTACAGCCTGCTCACCTGTCTCGTCCCTCTCTTCATTTATAATAAAGGCAAAGAAGATCTATGAGCAGAAATGCCGGGACAAAGATGAGGCGGAGCAGGCTGTCCACCGGAGCGCCAACATGGCAAACCAAAAGCAACAAGAAAAGGTACCTAGGAGGGCCCACAACATGATAAATCTGAGATTTACATCTATCAGTTTAAAGCCAGCTTAAAAAAAATTTTTTTTGGTGGTCCTGGACATTGAGCCCTGGCCTTTACATGAGCTAGGCAAATGCTGGACCACCAAGCTATGTTCCCTGCCCCTTTTTTATTTATTTAATTTTGAAACAGGGTCTTGTTAAGTTGCCCAGGCTGGCCTTGAACTTGTGATCTTCTTGCCTCATAAACCCAAGTACCTGGGTTTACAGATGTCTGCTACTGCACTGGGCCTAAGAATTTTAATTTAGAAATGGACCTGTACCCTAAGGTTAAGGCAATATCTTCCCTTAATTTATGACGATCTTCTGACCCAGAAAAACCCTTGTCCCATTTTTGGAGTTGGGGAAAAGAACTAGCAAAATATGGCCATAAGGGAACAAGAGGTGGCATTAGAGGTCTGATTTTGTTCACCTTTTTAAAAACTCAACTCCTGGATTTTTTGTTGTTAGGCCGCCTCTTGCTTGGGTGGATTAGAAATGTAATTTTATAAAATATTAGTATAAGATTGTCAGCTGGAGGGCAGGAGCATGTCTTTAGGAAGGCAGGGGCAAGATGCTTTATGATTCTTTTCTAAGGGTGAGAAGATTAAAGAGCAGGTTGAATGATTTGCTCCTGAGGGACTAGTCTCATCTAGTCAAAGTCATTGCTTTTACATCTGTTTTGCCAGGTCCAGTGTTCCTGATCTCTTGTTCTTTTCTTTCCCACAGCTCTTTGTGAAACTGGCAACTTCCAAGACTGCAGTAGAGGACTCTGGTGAGGGCGCTGCCCCCACGGATGGGAAGGGTGGGTGGTGGGGTTTGTGTTATCCTAACCTCTGAGAAAAGTACTTTTACAACTGAGAACAGATGTATATAAAATAGGATTATCAAAACGTCAGAAGTGAAGAAGGAAGGTAGGGCAAGGCATGTAGGGATGTTGGTGAGGGGAGGAAGGAAGAGCAGACCCCAGGTCAGGCCTAGATTCTGGCCACTGTCTGCTGAGGTCTTGCTGTGTGAGGACTGAGTGAAAGGTGGGGTGGGGGGAGACATGTGGTAGCTGCTCTGTAATCAGGTGTGCACTGACTTTTGGGGACATCTATCTAAAAACCTGTTTCAGCCCTGGTAGTCCTTATCTGCTTTAGAAGAATCAGCCAAGTTGCACAGAAATCTAATCAGGTGCTTGTGAAGGCTTCCACTTCCCAGAATATCCTGCAGGAGACAACATGTTATGAGGAGGGTCACTTAGGAAGCCTCTAAATCCAAACTAAAAGTGTCTTAGTGCTCCTTTGGGACTCAGGAGAGTTTCTTTTGCATCTCTTGTCTGATGGTTTTCCTGGAAATGAAAATGATGGAAACCATTGTAGTAGACAAAGGAAACCCTGTTTGAGGTTCCTCTTCAGCTTTCACTTCTTTCTTGGGGCATTTCTTGCTCAATGTTTGGTTCAGTGTTCAACGAAAGTGACACCCATCTTTGCTTATCTCACCAAGAGGTTGTGAGGGTGAAAGATGTAATTTTGGTCTTCCAAAGTTCAGAGCTCCTGGGGACTCTTCAACTCCATGCAAGTCTGATGAGCCTTTCAAGTCTGAGGTGACACTCCTCTCTTCTTTTGCAGACAAAGCGTACATGCTGCACGTCAACACGCTGGATAAGGTCCGAGAGGACTGGCAGAGTGAGCACATCAAAGCCTGCGAGGTAACCGGAACCGGAAGCTGCTCAGGGCATGCCTTCTGCCTACAACCTGTAGACTCTGCCTCTTATTATAGCACCCCAATTCTCATTCCACTAAAAGCTTGAGGGTGTTGGAAACTAGGACTTTCAGTGATGAAGGGAAGGAACTAAAATACTTTCTTCCAGGCCTCATCTTTCAGCTTCCTCCTCATCCTGACCATGCTGTCCAATTCTATCCGGAGCTTTAGTCTAAGGTTTGGTCAGTGCAGACAAGAACCAGCTGAATTGGTGAATGGTTGGCTGAGTCTACTAATGAACATTGAGAGCCTTGCCCGTACTGGCTGGGTTCTATGGGAAATGCAGACAGCTGGTGAGCGGGCTTTGAAGTTGTTTTCCAATTTCACCAGTACCCCCCTTTCATGTTCAGCACATGACCTCATGATTTCCCAGAAAAATTTAAAAGATATAATCCAGAAACCTCCTCAAGTTTCTGTCCCCTTGTCTGGAAGTTTCCTTGCCAGTGGTTGTCCAAGTGTGGTTTTAGGACTAGCAGCATGAGTATCAACTGGGAAATTGTTAGTGATGTAGAGTCTCAGACCAAGCCCAGACCTTTAGAGTCAGAAACTCGGGGTCCGGTGACTTCTATGAATTCAATATGAGAACCACTGATCAATAGCTCCCCTTCTCCTATCAGAAGGGAAAAAGGGTGGCTCCCTGCCCTGTCAAGATCTCATCCCATCTAGTTGGCCTTTTCCCACCCCTTTGGGCACAGCTCTTTTTAACATGAATGGCTGCTGTCTTGTATGCAAACTCCATCATTCCTAGCTTTACATTCCACCAGCTTTTGTTACCCTCTGTATTCTCTCCAATGCTGAGCCCTGGCTGTGAGTTTTGAAGTTCTATTCTAGTCCTTGTCTCAGCCTAAGGTTTGCTTCCCTGCAGCTGCTCCCTCCTCTCTCAGAGGTCACCAAAGATCCCCTTGGTGTGAGGCCCAGTGGGGTCTTTGTACCATTTCATTTTACTTTTTTTGTAGTTGTAGATGGACAGAATGCCTTTATTTTATTTATTTTTATGTGGTGCTGAGGATGGAACCCAGTACCTTAGCATACTAGGCAAGCACTCTGCCACTGAGCTACAGCCCCAGCCCCCATTTCACTTTTTTATTTTACTGTTTGTGGTACTATGGTCAAACCCAAAACTAGGCAAGTGCTCTATCACTGGACTACACCCAAGCCTGGCCTTTGTGGTTTCTAAAGTTTGTTTTTTGACCTCTCTCTACTATTTGATACTGTTGGTCACTATGTCACCACTAAAGGACTTTTTTCTGCTTTATTTTTCTAACTCCACACCCTCATGAAAAGCCTGGAATGAGCCCATTTTTATATGATTTAAAAGTTGCCAAGTCATATCACATACATTTCATAGATGCAGATGTACTACTGAAATCTGCACGGGAATGATAATATCTAGGTCATCTCTGGGGAACTGAAGAAATGATAGACATTGGGGAAGTCCCACAGGGAGTTCACCAAAATCTGATGCAAATATGGCCCCCAAATGGTCTGGGGTTGTGGCTCAGCAGTAGAGTACTCGCCTAGCATGTGTGAAGCACCACATAAAAATAAATAAGTAAAATAAAGATATTGTGTCCAACTACAACTAAAAAATAAATATTTTAAAAAAATATGGTCCAAGATTCTGACAGAGCTGGGTGGTTGGTATGCAGGTATTCACTATTTTGCTCTCTATGATTCTATATGAAATATTCTGTAATAAAAATACAGGTGAAATAATGCATTTATTTCAAAATACCCAGGTAGTAGGGTAGTTGGTAGTGATACCAGTAAGATAGAATGAGTCTTGGGTTGATAAATGTTTGATGATGGATACACAGGGACTCATTATACTATTCTCTCTACTGGTGTATATTTCAAGTTTTATATTATAATTATTTTTTTGTAGTAGGGATTGAAACCGGGATGCTTTACCACTGAGCTACATCCCCAGTCCTTTCATCTCCCCACCTCCTCTTTTTAAATTTTGAGATGAGGTTTTGATAAGTTGCTGGAACTTGAGATCCATCTGTCCCAGCCTTCCAAATAGTGGAACTGAAGGTGTGCGTCACTGTACCTTGCTCAAGTTTTGTATTACAAGAAGCCTAAAAAATGTAGTAGCTATGGCATTCAATGTTTTAAAAAATGTTAATACATATAATACTTACTGTTGCATAGAACATCATCCACTTTGTTGAATAGCTTGATTTTTCAAAAGTTGGCATTTGCTTATATCCCAAACACTGTTGCTTAGGCAGTGACTTTTATTTTAACTTTTTTTTATTATGGAAAAATTTAAACATACCCTAAGACAAAAAACAAGTAAGAGAGCCCCCACGTCCTCATCAACTAGCTTCAATAATTATGACAGTTTTGCTTGTCAAATTAGTAGGAGGGGAGCATGGGGGCTCTGGCAGGCTACACGGGTGGACATGTCCATAAGGCATTTGGAAATGTCTGCCGGAACTCAGGCTAGAACACTGTTGTCTCTGGTCATCATTATGTCTTACCTTCAGAACTCTATCTAGCCCTGTTTATGTTAAAATGTATCAGGATCCATTTAAGTTGTTAGTACTGAGCTTCTTCAGTGGTGGTGGTGGGGGAGTACCCCATGAGACAATAAGCTTACAGACAATTGAAGGTTGACACTATTTAAGTCCCATCCAGTCTAAAGGATGTCTCCTTTGTCTGCATATGTGTGTACAAATAACTGTCTTTCTGTAGGTATTGGAGGCTCAAGAATGTGAACGAATAAACTTCTTCCGGAATGCACTGTGGGTACATGTGAATCAGCTGTCACAACAATGTGTCAAAAGTGATGATGTAAGTCAGAGGTTCTACGGAGGACTGTGGCTCTGTGTACTGGGTTCATTAGATGGAAAGAACCCCAGGGGCTTATTAGTTCATCCTCTCTCCCTGCTCCCGTGGAGAGAGGCAAAGTGACTTGCCCAAGGCCACACATTGACTTGATACAAGGGCCCAGAAAAACATGCAACCTGCCTGACTCCTGATCCATGACTTTCTAATTAAGACATTCAGAATTAAGGCAGGAGAGCAGAGAAGGGAACCCAAAGACAGCTTAATGGATGGAAGACAGATGTCACAGCATGAATGTGAGTCCCAGAGACTGCTGCAGTCTGTAATAAGGTCACTCAGGATAGCACCAAGTATTGCAGACTGACCTGTGCCCAGGCTGAGGGTCCCTGCAGGGCTGAAGATGTTCTTCACCTGTATTTCCATGACCATTGTCTAGGATCTACTTGTGCACAGTCATTTCAGGTCCCCAGATCTCAGAGCATCACCTCAGGTTATTGCAAACTTCTTTGCTGAGAAATAGCCATTCTTATCCTCACTTAGATGACACACTCACTTTAAAAGAATGTCTTAACACCCAGAAAACCCTTAGAATTGAATGGAAAAATTTTTCTTCAAGGTAGGCAATTGTATTTGTATGTGGTGTTGGTGTTGTATCATGGGACTTTGTATCTAGTTTTTTTTTTAAAAAAAAACAATTTACAGCCTAAATTTTTGTCTTGACATAAAGATACATTTATTTCCTGGAATATTTTTTTAAAATTGAATAGCACATATTCACAAAAACCATTATATTAGTCTGGGACCTGGGAATGTTTTTTGTTTCTTTTCAAAATTTGGAGTCAGCCATTCATCAAACCTCTTTTTGTGTGTGTGTGCTATAGGGGCTTGAATCCAGGGGCACTCTACTACTAAAACTACACCTCCCAGGCCTTTTTATTTTGACACATGGCCTTGCTAAATGGCCTAGACTGACCTCTAACTTGTGATCCTCCTGCCTCAGCCTCCTGAGTGACACCATGCCTGGCTCAAATCTCCTTTTCCTTTTTGGTACCAGGGATTAGAATCCAGGGGCTCTTAACCACTGAGCCACATTGCCAGCCCTTTTTCACTTTTTATTTTGAGACAGAGTCTTGTTAAGTAGCTTAGGGTCTCACTAAATTGCCGAGGCTGACTTTGAACTTGTGATCCTCCTACCTCAGCCTCCCAAGTCACTTGTATTACAGGTGTGCATCCCCCCAACCCCCAACCATGACTGGCTCAAACCTCCTTCTTAAAGGAGCTCTGCTACAATTATCACTGACCTGCTTTTATCTAAGGATTCATCTTCTTTTTGTTAGATGTATGAACAAGTTCGTAAAACTTTAGAAATGTGCAGCATTGAGAAGGACATCGAGTACTTTGTGAATCAACGCAAAACTGGACAGATTCCACCAGGTGAAGGGGGACAGGAGGCTGGGATGGGGAGAACTGTTTAAGCCATTCTGTTAGTCTTTCCTGTCAGATGTCATTGAGAATGTAAGGCACCTGCTGAGTTAGTTACTGACTGAAATAAAGGAACTTATAAGAGAAAGGGTTTATTCTGGCTCACAGTTTTGAGGTTCCAGTCCATGGTTGGTTCGCTGGTTCCTTTTGGGCTTATGGTAAGACAACACATCATGGGGGGAGCATGTGACAGAACAAGTGGCTCTCCTCCCAGCTGGGATATGAAAAAGTGAAGGAAGAGAGACCAGGGTCCACAATCTCCTCCAAGGGCACACTCTCAATGACCTCAAGGTGTCCTCCTGGGCCCCACTTCTCCCAATAGTGCCAGGATGTGGACCAAGCCTGTAATGTATGAGCCTTGGGGGGACATTCCAGATCCAGCCTTCAGCTTCTTAATGGTTCCTTCCTCCATGACTCTCCTAGCACCCATCATGTATGAGAATTTCTACTGCCCGCAGCGGAATGCTGCCCCACCAGGAAAGACCACAGGGCCTAACTTGGCAAGGTAACAACCAGCTGCCTTTCACATGACGAAAATACTTCTAATAAATGTTTTTATTATTAATGTTCTAAAGCATAGTCTATTTTTAAAGTTTATTTTTTAATTGACAAACAGAAATGGGCGTATTTATCATGTAAAGACATGACAGTTGGAACAGATCTATCATTGCCTCTGCATAGCGAGGTTGCTAGGTTTTTAGAAACAGCGCTTTGAGCACAAGTGCTAAGTGGATTTTATTGGTCATAGTTCAAGGAGGACTATGTCTTGCCTGAATGTGATCACTATTATTCCTTTATGTATCTTATAGCAGGAGTTAGCAAACTATGACCCCTATGAGTCAAATCTGGTCTACTTATTTTTTGGGGGATAGCAAGGATTGAACTCAGGGGCACTTGACCATTGAGCCACATCCCCAGCCCTATTTTGTATTTTATTTAGAGACAGGGTCTCACCGAGTTGCTTAGCACCTCACTTTTGCTGAGGCTGGCTTTGAACTTGTGACTCCTGCCTCAGCCTCCCAAGCCTCTGGTATTACAGGTGTGCACCACCATGCCTGGCTGATCTGTTTTTGTAGAGTCTGTGAGTTAAGTTTTTACATTTTTAAATAGCTGAAAAAAAATCAAAAGGATTCTATTTCATGACATGTGAAAATCCTATGAGATTCAAATTTCAGTGTTCATGTAGAGACACATTTTGGGACACAGCCACTCTTAGTGGGTTATATTTTGTTTATGTTTTTCCACTAGAGCTGAAGAGAGTTGTGACAGAAACAGTAAATCATTTTCTACTGGGCCCTTAACAGGAAAATTTTGCTGCCTCTCATATTATAGATCCTGAAGGAAGAGAAACTTCTGTTTATATAAAGTCAGTTAGAAGTCTAAGCTGTTGAATTTTCTGTTTAAGTTGTAGGAAACATGGGGAGTGTTTGGGAGGGATTGCATGTTCACTATCGTATTTAAGAACACCAGGCACTGTTCACAATAATTAATGTGAACTAGAAGTTTTAATCCTTACAATGAGGTAGGAGCTGTTAGTATTTCTGTCTACGTAAGAAGATGCTGATGAACAAGGATACCGGTACATCTTGCCCATATAGCTGGGGTTTTAATCCTGCCAGCCTAGGTTGCAGGGGCAGGGCCCTGCATCCCTACCCACTATGCATCTGCCCCTCGGCACCATATCGTGTCTGCACCTCAGATTTCAATAGGTCAGGGCTGCAGATCATCTGCCTCATCTGAGCTTTCTTGGCCCTTTAGTGCAAAAACCTGAGCTGATTAGAGTATACTGTGCTTGTAGTATGAAGCAGGAAATTATGACAATAACACAAACTTATGTGAAGGACTTTGGTTTTCATTTCTTACAGGAGAGGACCTCTCCCAGTTCCTAAAAGTGTACCAGGTAAGCCATCAAGAAAGGCCTTTTGAAATTCTTAGGTCAGGTTTTCTTTAAGATTGAAGAGTTAAAATTTTGAAATAAGGGGTAAGAAGGGATTAAATAGGATTGAATTCCCAAGAGGATGAACTTGTATTAGAATCTCATGGTAATACTGTTTGTCACAGAGTGGAATTTGGTAATTGGTGGTTTATTTTATAGCTTATCCAAGAGAATTTAACAACTAAAGTGACAAAAGAAACGTTTTCTTTTGAGATCTTCAAACCTGCACACAAACACTTTCACTTTGACTGTATTGCTATTACTTTCAGTACAGTGGGAAAGAGAACATCATATTGTTGCAGGAAATGTAACAAAGGCTAGAGGGTTAGGAAATATTGAGAAAAGGGAAGGTTAACATCAATGACTAGGGAGACAGAGACATTACAGTATCTGATGGCTAAAAATTAATTGTGTAGTCCTGTGATTAAAATTCTCAAGCCTGATGATCAACCTGTTGGAGTTCTGATGTAGAAGCTTTCTCTAGAGGTTCTTCCACTGTATAAAAGGGCTAACAAACAATGATAAATTTTTATTAGGGTTGTGGAAAACTAGATAGAGTGAAACCATAGTTTTATTATTTGAGAATTTATAATAAATTGATATCAGAAATGAATTAAAATAGAAGCAATAATGAATGTTTAAAATATTATAAAGGACTTTTTGTCTCTTAAGAACTATAGAAATCTCTATTTTTTTAAAATAAAATAATTATAATTATAAACAATTATTATTTAGTAAATAGACCAACAAAAAGCCTAATGAATTACTGTGTACACTTGCAACCAAAAGAAACTTATTATAAGACAATTTTATCAGAGATTATTTCAGCTTGGATCATGTGATACAATTCCCCCCTTTGGATTACACAGACATGTCATTTATGGAAGGTAAACATATCTGAAAGTATGTAACTTAATGTTATATATTTTGTACACTGCTCATAGTGGGATCTTTCACTGATCACACTGGTAGTCCCCTTTTTCTCTGAACTCCTAGGATTCCTCTGGAAGAACCACACATCTCAGCATTTTTTTGTTAGTTTTTTTCCCCCCCTGGATAATTACAAGATCCCTGAGGACAGGCACTTTATCTTCTCTTGAAACCCTACCTATACCTAATATAGTCCTAGGTACATAGTAGGTCCTTAAAAATATTTACTATTTAAAGGAAAAAAAGTGTTATCTACCAGCATTCAAAGGAATGAGGGAAGAAAATAACTTTGTGTTTGATGGCTCAGTAAAAAATGTAATGACTGATGAATATATAGTGCTGAAATCAAATCTTTGAATAATATATTGATTTAATTTATTTCTTGTTTTCTTATAATTACCAGTTGATTATATGGGACTTAATTTTGTATATTTTTTTGTTCTTTTTAGTTATACATGATAATAGAGTATTATTTTGTAAATTTTTGAAGATGGCTTTATTGCAGATACTAATATCTAGACTTGGATGAAGAAGTCATAATAGGGACTTCTAGAATGTTCTCTGGTTTGTAGTCATGACAGTTATAGGTTTCATTGCCAGATACATTTTCTCCTTACAAAAAGGTAGTCACCCAAATCTTTAAGTAGAGTACCTTGGTTTGAAAAGAGTTAAGATCCATCATGAAAAAACAGTTAGAATGCTGTTTTATGTTCTGTCCTCTGTAGATGACCCTGATTATTCTTTGGTTGATGACTACAGTTTGCTCTATCAATAACATAAAGGTAAGAAATTTTAATTTTCACATAGTCAAGTTGCACTGGGATTGGTGATTGTGTTTCTGAGGCCTTTGAATCCTCTTTATGACACCACCACAAACAAACCAGGCCTTGTGACAGGCCAGCACACTGGTGGGTGTGGTGTCATTTCAGCTTGACCTCTTTGGATCCTACAACCAGAAGCTGACTGGAAACACTCCTTGTGTATTTGAACAGGGCATTTCCCCTTAATTAATTATCCTATGATTCTTTCTGCTTTGGTTAAAGTCTTTCATAGCTATTACACATCTACATTTAGGCGTGCTCATGAGCAACACACACATGGCCCCCCTGTTTAAGTCATTTAGCTTTTAGTGTCTTCTCCTTCCCTCTAAAAGGGGGGAAAAGTCAAGTAAAGAGAAGTCACTGAAAACAATGTAAATGTCATCACACTTATTACATTCACCCTGGAGTCACAGGGGCCAAACCCCTCCAGAATGTCACTGCTCTGAACCCACAAACCACAAGGATTCTTGGAAGAGCACTAGAAAGTCAGCTGTCTCATAGTGGCTGGTTCTCCTTGGCACTCAGATGCTTAGAACAAGCCCCAAATCAAAAGCAGTCTTCACAAATGTAAAAATAAAAAAATTAAAAAAAGGGTTGGAGATATAGCTCAGTGTTAGAGCATTTCTGGGTTCAACCCCAGGACTACAAACAAATAAACAAAAAATTCAATGAAACTCCTCATAAAGGTTTTTTGTTTTTATTTTTGTTTTGGTACTGGGGATTGAACTCAGGGGCACTTGACTGATGAGGCATATCCCAGTCCTATTTTGTATTTAATTTAGAGACAGGGTCTCATTGAGTTGCTTAGTGCCTCACTTTTGCTGAGGTTGGCTTTGAACTCACCATCCTCCTGCTTCAGCCTCCCAAGCTGCTGGGATTACAGGCATGTACTACTGTGTCTGTCTTAAAGCATTTTTTTTTTTTTTTACCCAAATGGGCTTACCTGGGCTACAACCCTATAGGCATTTAGAAGCCAAGAAAAAGTCTGAAAGGCTATGTACTTGAATAGGTAGTAGTTTTCCTTTTTGTTTATCCTGTTTTCTAATTTAGCTACAAGAAGAATGTATTACTTCTTTGATGAAAGGCTGTTTTGAAGGGTTGGTCTATTTGCATTTTCTTGATCTTGTTTTTTCTTGGGAATCATAAGAAGTAGGTCAGTGAGATACAGGAAATCATAAAAGAACTGGACAAGCCTTCCACCTTCCCTCACTGGCCTGGTATTAGTAACATTTACTGTCAATTATGAAACAAAACAGGTTGTTTTGTTTGTGGTACTGGGAACTGAACCCAGAGCCTTACACATATTAGGCAAGCACTCTACCACTGAGCTACATTCCTGGCCCTTAAAATTTATTTATTTTATTTATTATAAAATTTATATTTTGGGGGTACCGGGGATTGAACTCAGGGCTACTCGGCTACTGAGCCACATCCCCAGCCCTATTTTGTATTTTATTTAGAGAGAGGATCTCACTGAGTTGTTTAGTGCCTCACTTTTGCTGAGGCTGGCTTTGAACTCGTTATCCTCCTGTTTCAGCCTCCTGAGCCTCTGGGATTACAAGCATGTGCTATGGCTATTTTAAAATTTTGAGACAGGTTCTTACTAAGAGGCTCAGACTGGCCTTGAACTTGTGGTCCTCCTGCTTAAGTCTCCTGGGTAGCTGGGATTACAGGTGTGCACCCCATCTGACACAAAACAGGAGTTAACAGTGCTCTCAAGGGATTTCCTACGGTCTTCTATCCACTGAAAAGTGCTTGCAAGTTAGCACATCATACATTGCTTCAGTTCCTCTAATAATACCTACTTTGTGACTTATAGTCACTTTACTGCATAGTACAGAAGCCAAATTGTCTTAATTAAATAGGAATAATTAACTAGTATCTGTTTATATTTAAATACATGTTCTTGCTTAAGAAATGTATTTCATATTTAAGCAACTTGGCTGTAAAAGTTATGGAAATTGGAGAATAAAATACTCCATTCTCTAACTAGATATATCTTTCTGGTCTACAAATAAACTGTACTCTTTACAACCCATCATCATTGCTTTTTTCTTTCATAAGCTTCCCTTTTTCTCACCGAGAGGTGCAAAGCCCTGATTAGAGACAGAGCAAGAACATGATAAATCAATCAACGACTTGGAATTCAGAGGGGAAACCTGTTCCATTTAACACTGCCCATGATGGCTATGGGGCAGGGCATTGGCAGTTCCAAGAGTTTCTTTTTATTTATTTATTTTTTATTTTATTTTTTTGTTTTTAGTTGTTGATGGACCTTTATTTGGTTCATTTATTTATATGCAGTGCTGGGAATGGAACCCCAGTGCCTCACACATGCAAGTCAAGTGCTTTACCACTGAGCCACAACCCCAGCCCTCTTTTTATTTTTTTAATCTTTCTTTTCTGCCCTTACCTGTTTGGGTAAAGCTTATATTCTAGTAGAATATAATAGCACTGACCCCAAACTATAGCTCCCCAGAGTTCAAGAATCTGATGTATGTGTGCAAGATGCTCGTGCCGTCACATTTACTTGAGTTCTCTCTCTTTCAAGTAATATAATTTTAATGTTTGCACCAGCTCAATGGATAGAGGCTCGATATCTACCTGTGTAATTGACCAAATTACAGAGAATCTTAAAGAAGTGAGCCTGGTTTAGTTAATAATCCAGTTAAGCAATTTATGAAACTTATTACAATACTTAAAATAGTTTTGAGTGAAACTTTGGAATGAAAATTTAAACAGAAAGATTTTGAAATTTGTGATTTGTTCTGTGGTTGTTGATTTTAGCTGCTATTCCTATTTCTCTCTCTCTCTCTCTCTCTCTCTCTCTGTGTGTGTGTGTGTGTGTGTATGTGTATTTTAAGCTGCTATGACTGATTTTAATTCTAACATGTTTAGGTAAAGACATTATAATTTTTGAATTTAAAAAATGCATATAAAAATATAAGTACTTGTGTTATCTACCATAAAGCATTTCCATTATCATCACCTTTCATTGTTCATTGTGTGGAGTTTCCATTCCTCACCATTTCTTTTCCTTGACTAAGCAACACTTACTCTGGTTGATACACCCTGAAGGTGATGCGAATAGGTCATTCAAGTGAGGTTTCTTTGTAATTTTCTTTCAGAAGAGGAAGCTTTCTCCAGCTAGTGCTTCTGTGGCATGAAAAGAGGCACCCAGAGCAGCAGATTCTAGAGCTTTGTCAATCATGAAGACTTTGAAGTGAACCCTTGTTGCAATTCTTGAATATTTAAAATTTATAGTAGACATCAATTCAAGTTAGTAAAGTGCTACAGTTTTTTTTTTTTTTTTTTTGACAAAGTTTACAAATTGCCCAGACTGGTAAATAATTCTTTCCCACTCATTCACTGAAGTTGCAAAGGAACTGTTTCCTGTTTGGGATTTGTATTTAAATATGTGTATTTAAATATAAACTGTTTTCTGTTTGGGAACTGTTTCCTGTTAGTGCTCCATGGGGCAGAGGGGGCTGCAGTGGAGACTGAGCTGTCAACTGCAGAAGATGCACTTTTGGCTTTGGGCTTTGGCTTTTGCTCTGTATTCTGAGCCACAGAGCAGCATGGCTTTGGAATCTCACAGCAACACACTCTCATGGTTCAAGATTTAAAGTTACCCTCCTTTTTGGCTGGAAGACTTAGAAGCCACATTCTCATTTTACAGATGAAGAAACAAGGCCCAGAAGTGTGAAATCAGTTTCCTTACAGTTCTGCCAGCAGATGAGAGATGGAACTGGACCCAGTGCGCAAGCTCATTCCACATCACTCTTACTAACTCTTCATGAAGCTGTGATGCTCAGGCTAAAATTAAAATTAAAAATGCCAAATAGTTTTGCCAGCATCTTTTTTCAATTGGGAAAATTACTAGGACTTAAATGTTAAACTTTAAAAAAAATATATGATTCACCATGTGTACTAAATTACAGAGCAGCATATTTAACATAATCTGAGAAGCTGTAGATTGTAAATTATGCCACTATTTCATGTACCACTCCGAAGATGGGGTAGTGAAGGTGCCAATAGGTTTGTGACAGCCTGTTGACAGCCAAACCCATTTGAATTTGAGACAGTAAATTGTGACCAAAAAAAAAGTTCATAGAGTCAATGACATATGGTATTTTGATTATCTTTAATTCTGGGTCTCTACAATCTTTTGAAAACTTGCTAGACCCTGGAATCTTTCAAGAATCAGTCCTTTTACAAATATTTGGCTCTTCCTCTGTCACCCATAAGCTATGGGGTGTTATGTACCTTTCATACAACTTTTGAGCAATGAGAAAATGGTGCATTTTAGTTAAAATGAAAATAGCACTATTGCTTGTATGTTGTAAAGGTCACTACAAGGAGCAAATATTTATCTCTCCTGCCCTGTGCAATAACTTTCCTAGAACTATAGGAAAAAAAAATGACTAAAAGAAGATTAATTATTTCCCCCTTTTAATATAAGGTACTTCTAAGTGTGACAGCTTCTTATCATAGCAGGAAACTTGCATCAGTTGAATATCCTTTTGAGAAATTCATATTTGCAAAGGACCATTGACTTCCCCAAACTGAAACAGGCTCAGGAAATTTGCCTTTGCATTCAGATCTGTTTTTAACTTTATTATTTATTGTTGGCTCCTCAGGGATTTCACTTTTCTATCAGTGTAATTGATGTAAAAGTGTTTTATGAATAGAACATGATAATTTTATTGCTCTTTAAGTTTATTTGAAGTAAAATAAAGGTTCTTGGTGATTTGGGATTTCTTTTGCATTTCTGTGTTAAAGACATCTCTCTTCCCAGCTCTATTTGACCCCTTGTCCCGTTTGCAGCTGTTAGACAACAGAAAAAGAAAATGCTGGCTAGGAAGGCTAAGTGGAGATGGTGTCATCTACCAATGTCCTTCCTGTGTCAAGAACAATGTCTCTTCCTCTAAGAGGCACTGACCCTGTCTCTAGATTAAGTTGAGTCTCACTATTGATTTCCCCTCTTTCCTTATTATTACATGATTTGCTCTTGAAAATAATTATTCCAGGTTTGTCTCTCCCCTTAACTCCATGAGAGCAGGACCCTGGTCTGTCCTTTTCCCTGCTATATCTCCAGTGCTTGACACATAGTGGTAAATGTGTTAGAATTAGTGACCTATAATAAAACATAGCTGGAGGTCAGGGTGTGGCTCAATGGTAGAGCTTGTGCCTAGCATTCAGGAGCTATAAGTTCCACTATAGCACTGCAAAAGCAGAAATAAACACAGAAACAACCCATTTGAAAAAGAAGTAAGGAATATAAAGGAAATGAATCTAGACAAAAAGGTATGCATTACATCTAGTAAACATGAGCTGCTCTGTAGATTGTTGACATATACTTCTGGTTCTTTTAGAAGCAGACTCCAAAATAAAGGGTTGAATACAAGTGCTTTTTCAGTATGGGTTGGGAGAGGTCATTTGGCCCACTGAGGCTGGAGTTGCCTCCAAAATTTCTACCAAGAAGTTCCCACAGGTAGTGTCCCAAATTGTCCCCAGCTGAGGCCTTTTGGAATTCCAAAGAAAGAAGCACTAAATACCAGGGTGATCACTCTGAAGCTTTTATTGGGGGAACTTACTTACAGGCAGCTGCAGCACCTTGGATGTTCTACCTAGGTATGGCCTCATCGAAGGGGTCATGTGCTACTGCCCATGAGTCAATGTATTTACCTTGGGCCACATCTCCCTTCACAGTAAGTTCATGACTGGCTGGATTGCATATCGCACTACTTCTTGGGAGTGCTTGTCTTCTCTGTTTTTTTGCAGTCACTTCTGAGTGGGGCTGTAGTGTGGCAGCCATCCTTGCAAAGACCAACAATAGCACACACAACTGACCTGTTGCTGAGTTTTTTTCTTCCTTACCAATTGGGTTGAAGGAAATTTATAAAGGCTATAAGTATGAGCTGGAGGAGAGACCCAGGTGCAACAGAGAACTGATAGGCCTGCATTACCTGTTGGATACCATGCCTGGGCTTTCTGGATTCACTTTGGCCTGAATGCACTGTGCACCATATCCATTGCAGGATGGATTTCTGATGTGCCCACCTTGTCTATGACTCAGGGGATATGAAGAAAGCTGAAGTAATTTAGAAGTAACATTTTTTGCATATTCATATTTCCTTTATAATTTTTCAAAATGCATCTCTCTCTCTCTCTCTCTCTCTCTCTCTCTCTCTCTGTATCAAGGGTTGAACTCAGGAGCACTCAACCATTGAGTCACATCCCCAGCCCAATTTTTGTATTTTATTAGACACAGGGTCTCACTTAGAGCCTTGCCTTTGCTGAGGCTAGCTTTGAACTCGAGACCCTCCTGTCTCAGCCTCCTAAACTGCTGGAATTATAGGCGTGTGCCACTGCACCGGGCCCAAAATGCATCTCTTTATTTGCACATTTTTGTGACAGTAAGGATTGAACCCAGGAACATTCTATTATTGAGCTACATCCACCCAAGCCTTTTAATTTTATTTTTTATTTTAAGACAGTGTCTCACAAAATTGACTAAGTTGCCCAGACTGGTCTTAAATTTGCCATCTTGTGCTTCAGCCTCCTAAATAGCTGGGAGTACAGGTATGTGCTACCATTCTTGGCTTTTTGCATCTCTTTAAATGCCACCTTAGCAGCTTTCTGGTGTCCCCACTATTCTCCGAGTGACCCGAGCTTATGATTTTCTTTAGCCCGAAACAGCAATTGATAACCAACCTATTCTATTATCATTTGCCTCCATACCTTTAAAAGACATTGATGTTGGGTGAACTCCTGCACCTGACTTATACCCCAAGCCCCACAGGGGAGGCCAGAGTTATTATGATGCTGCAGCACATATGTGATCATATTCTACTGCCAGTGACATGCTTGTCATTTGGCCAGGTGGGAATAATTGCAGAATGCTATCCTGACACTACTTCTGAGTACCATTTATGATACCAGCCATCTTACTCTGAGGTCCCCCAGAAAGAGGGACTGAGAAAAGGATTTGAGATCAAGTAGTGTACTGAGGAGGTGAATTTAGAAAACATCAATCGTGGAATGGGAAGTGAGAAAGGGAATAAAAGGAAGTAAATAGAGTATGCTATCAATCAAGTTGCTGATGTGGGAAACTGGGGCTTAATTCCCCTGGAGGACTCTGGGAAACAGCATATACTATCTGAGAACTAGTTCAGCCAAGGAAAGGGTGAGGGAACTGGGTGTTAGTATTAGTTTGCTAGAACTGTTATATAAATTGAGTGGCTTAAATAACAGTTTTGGAGGCTGGAAGTCCTCCAAAGATAAGGTGTGGAAAAGACTGGTTTGTTCTGAGGACTGAGGGAGAATCTGTTCCAGATCTCTCTCCTCGCATTGCAGTTGGCCATCTTTTTCTCTGCGTCTTCCTGATGTCTTCCTTCTATAGGTCTCTGTGTCCAAATTGTCATTCTTTGTATGGGCAACAGTTGTATCAGATCAAGAGCCTCCCTTATGATCTCATTTTAACTTGATTTCTCCTGTAAAGACCCAATCTCCAAATAAGGTCACATTCTGAGATACTAGGGGTTTAGGAATTTGGGAAGGGGACATAACTCAATCTGTAGCTGTATTTATATGCCAACTTCCATGTGTTACTGGCTGAGGGTTGCCTCAGTTTGTATTATTTCTCTGACACTTCCATAGCAATGTTCAAAGGGAGCTCTGAGACAAAGAGATGCCAGTTGTTGGGATTTGGGGTTGCACACTCAGAAATGTGAATGTCACAGAATGTGAGTGGGGGCCCTAAAAGTATCAGATGCTTTGGGGATGCAAATGACTATTTCTTTGACTTTTCAACTTTCTTGTTCTTTTAGCAGAGACTATGAGGACAATAACAGAATAAAGGACAAATATTTTTATGCTCTCCTGTTTATAGAAACAAAATTCTGTTAATGGAAGAGACCCTATCTAAAGAAGACACTCTGCTAACAAAATGTAGGCTGGCCTTTTTTGGTATTTGCTTGTCTCACAAGTGTATTGTCTCAAGACACTGAAATAACTTAGAAGTTGCATGATTGCTTCTCAGTTTTGCAAAAATGTATTTAGTAATCAAGAATGATGAAATATTGTCTTTTACAGAATGTTGTAAAGGAAGTAATTGATTATTGTAGACTAAATGACTTCTCGGGAATCATGTTAGATGTTGCATCAATGGGGGATGGCCACCAGATGGCAACCAGAGACCATGCAATGGATTTTGTAAGCATGCGTAAGAAAGATCAACCCAGGGCTCCTTTGTGAGTCTGGCAGCTTTCACCGAACTAGTTATAAAAAATGATAAGTACTGGTCCAGATTGCGACATAGTCACATTAATTTTTGTAATGCTATAATATGAGAAATATCTTTTTATGAAAGACTAGTTCTCGTTTTTAATTGATCAGGGTTTTTCTCATGAGATTAAATAGTATTTCAAATTCTCAAAGTTGCAGTGAAAATTAACACAACCTGTTAGAGAAAAATTTGACATATATTTATCAAAATTGAAACAAGAATCAGCCTCTGAAAACATTTTCACATCTAAGAATCTATCTTATTGAAATACATATTCATAGGGCTGAGGCTGTAGCTCAGTGGCAGAGCGCTTGCCTAGCATATGTGAGGCACTTGGGTTTGATCCTTAGCACCACATAAAAATAATAAAAACAAATAAAATAAAGGCATTCTGTCCATCTACAACTATAAAAAAAATTGAAAAAAATACACATGTATAGACATATATAAGAATGATCACTTTTATAAGCATTTTTTTATTTGTTACAGCATTGTTTTTAATAGAGAAAAAATTGCAAGCAGTTTAATGTCTATCAGAAGTCTATTTAAATAAAAATTAACTAAGGGAAAAAATGAGGTAGAATTTTCTGTTTCTGAAAAAAAAGGATATCCAAGGTTTATTAATTAAAAGGTCACAGATGATATATACATAGACGTTGAGCATTTATTTTTGTGTTATTTGTATATGGATTGAAAAAAATAACACTGAACTGTTATAATAGTTAACTCTGGGAGAGGAGAATTAACTTATTGGCACATGGACGTCTGTACTGTTTGCAGACACATTTAAAAATAATTATAACTTAATCGGGTGTGGTGGTACATGCCTGTAGTTCCAGCTACTCAGGAGGTTGAGGCAGGAGGATCCTGTGGAGCCTATGAGTTCCGGACCAGCCTGGGAAACACAGGGAGACCATATTTGAAAGAACAAAAAAAAAAAAATACATTGTAATTTTAAGATATTATAGAAATTTTTGAAGGAAAGCAAAAGTATATAATCTCAACAACTAACAGTCAATATACTGTGACTATTATGAAGAATACAGTGTCTTTTTAAAAAATTTAACAATAGTTGTACACATTTTATGGGATACAGTGTGATAAGTCAATACATTCATACAATGTGTAATGATCAATAAGGGTAATTAGCATTTCCATTTCCTTGAATATTTATCATTTCTTTGTGTTTGGAGACTTGGAGCTTCTCTTTTCTAAGTTCTTTGTAAAATATGTAATGAATTGTTGCAAATATATTCACCCTACTGTGCGGTACAGCACCAGCACTTATCCCTCCTATCTATGACTTATCCCCTCATGTTCTTGTTCTCTAGGGAACACTATTCTTCTCTCTACTTCTGAGATTAGTTTTTTTAGCTTCCAAATATAAGTGAGAACATACATTTTTTTCAAGGCAATATTTCTAGAATGAAATATTTCTGAACCTTATCTTGGCCCCAATGTGTAAGT